CCCTTGCAAGGACATAAACTTGATTCCCAGCACCCATGCTAATTACCTGGAAACCACTGCAGCTCCGGTGTCAGAGGGATCTGATGCCTCTGGCCTCCACAACATCTACACTCACACATGCCCACATACAGAAACACAGTCGTGCACATAATTAAAACAAACCTTTAAGTAAAGAGAAGATGCAGCTTATATTTTTGGTACTCTTCAAATAGAACAATACACAGATTCATTTGTGAGTCTTCAAGTCCCATGTTCCATAAAGGGAGGCAGACTCCACGTCAGAGTGCTTCCTGCTGCCTTGGGAAACATACCCAGTTCTGTACTCTGAAAGACACAGTTAGCCAAATACCCCTCTTTACTCCAGTGTTCTTGATAGCCATGCGTGGCAATGAGTGGCATGCATGGTTTTGGAGTAGGAAGCATTTTCTTGTTGGGTTTCCATTATCAAATAGCACATGGGCATGAGGGTGGCATCTATGCCTGCACTCCCCACACAGTTCTCCCCTGAGTTGATTCAGGTTCCCCTCCATGAACCCAGTCAGAGAATGCAGTGATATCAAATAGCCTAATGCTGCAGACTTTCCTGTGGTTGTCTAGGAAGATGAGGCCCTGAAGTATGTCCCTCTGCTTCCTAAAAGGGTTCATCTCTTTGCTCTGGCCCCGCTGACCTCATAACAAACATGCTGACCCAGCCAGCCAACAGCCATCCAGGGCACTGTTCTCTAAACTCACACTGGCCTCCAGGATTCCATTTCAGTCAGTCAGTGCCTCTAACCCGCTCACGGGTGACATGGGGGCAGCTCTAACTGGCTCACGGGTATGTGGGGTAAGCATCTGTAACTACCTTCCAGGTTATATGCAACCAGAAGCCAGGCTGCAGGGTTGGAAGGAAGGAGGCTCAGGTTGCTGGTGGGCCAGTGTGATGACCAGGAACGACTACAGGGAAGAAGGGGACCAGTTACCAAGTTAGCCTTGACTCCTTTCAGCCTTTCCTGGAACTGGTGCCCTGGATACACATTTGCCCCACAACTTTCACTTTCCACATTTTTTACTGCTTTTATGTTACTTGGGTCTAGAAGGAAAATGGTTAAGAGCCAGTTTTCTAGGAACTGGGGAGGTTTTGTTATTCCTGGATCACACCAAATGCTAGTCATTTAAAATTGTTTTATTGGAGTGTAATTTACATGCCATAAAATTCACTAGCTGTAAGACAACAGGTCAAGGGTTTTTTGTAAATTCATATGGTGAGGTTGGAAGCCCAGCATCCCAGAAGGCGCTAGTGACACCTGAAGCTCCTGATTGTGTATGAATCATGCTGACTGTATGTTTAAGTACCGTTTCAATGAATAGCAATGCTGTTTAAAATCCTTTCTGTTTTCCATTGTTTTACACCAAGGAAATAGGTTGCAGGCCATCTGTTTCATTACTTGTGGGTCTTCATTATTAAGTATGTGTATTGCCTGTCTAAGATGAAGTACATCTAGCTAGTATTAGGGACCGTATGGCCTGCCAACTACAATGTTGCCATCTCTTCGGATAACACACCAAGAGTGTGCTTCTTGCCAGTTAAAAGGGGATTTAAACACTGTCTTAATTCAAGAGTCATATATCTGAACCCCCACTGTGTGTCAGGCAGTGTCCTAAATGATACAAAAATGAATAATACATAACCCGTGGCTTCAACAGCCCATGACTCCTGAATGTGGCCAAAATACAAACTAATAATTCTATAACTGAGCCCACTGGAAAGTGTGGATGTTAGAATAGCAGGATAAACAAATGGTCTTTAAATGATAGCCTATAAAGGAATGACATTCTTGTACTGAAAACTGTATTCCCTGACCCATCTGAACTCTGCAATCCAAACAGTCTCTCTTGAGGACTTTGCTGGAGACTAAATTATTCTTTACAAAGAAATACAAAACACTGTAAGCAAGCCCATCTCAGTTAAAGGACAGCGTTTTAGATATAATGTCCTCATACTGATGTCCTGTATGATACTCAACATTTTAATGTGGGCTTAATCAGCAAACAGGTACATGTTCTGTGTTAAGTATTTTGGAGTGTCAGATGGAAAAAACTTCCACGTCTCTTTCAAGAGATAAGACTTCCAACACAGAGAGCTAAAACACAGGTTCAAAGATGTCTATAGTAAATTTCTAAATTAAGGATGAGTCATGCCAGAATATCCAGGACAAGCAGTAAATGTTATGGGGAATGGTGCTGAAGGCCTCCACCACGCTCTGCAGGCAGGGCACAAGGGGACAAGTCAGATGGCGTTATAAGATATGGCTTAAAGTTAATGCTCAGGTAGGTTCTCCCCACATCATTGGGATGGACTGCTATTTATTTAACTGAATTAATTCAACTTCCCAAACATACAGGAAATAGATGCATACGGCCCTCTTGTGAGATGTGTGGTTACAAGTTCTATTGTTATGCTCATTTAATTTTAAGCTTTCCCCATTTGTGACAGGAAACCATAGCTCATGATTTACTAATGCTTTTTGGTGTGGTTATGAAATCAAGATACTCGGCAAGAAAATGGGTACGAAACAAAAAAGGCAAAAACAGTGCTCTGCTACTAGAGCTTCTTGGTTGCTGTTCTGAGTCCACAGTCTTCCTTAACTTCCCAGGTATCCCAATGGAATATGATCCGATGCTTCTCCTGCTCCCTCAAATGTTTCCCAGTCTGAGTAAGATGAGAGAAAGATCTTGTCACACCATCCTCTGCCTTTTTGCTGGAGGCCACCATGGGTTAGAACCATATATGTGCCCAGCAGCCAGTGGGGTGTTATGACTCTTCCTGCTAGATCTAATGTCTTTGGTTTTGAATATAAGGCTGGTCAGAGAGCAATGTCAGTCCTCATACCCGAAGGCCAGCCCCAAAGGCGAGCAATGCAAATACCAACAGCTCTGCACTGAAAGGTATCAGTCTTACCCCTCTGCCATGGCAGCTGTCTAGCCTCCGAGCAGCTCTGTCACTCTTCCTATATTTCTTTACTAGTTTGCATTTGTGTATCTAGAGCTCAAGTGCAGGGCTGTGGGGTGAGGAGTTGTGCATGATGCTAGAAATTACATTCTGAGGTTTTTTTATTTCCTGGCTCACTGTCCTCATTCATCGGTCCCCTCATTAGACTCCTCTAAGGAGCGTGCATCCAGTATGCATAGCTCTGTGTGTGATCCTTGAGATGATAAGCTGAAAATAGCAAAGTAGGAAAGCCCAATGTGGTTTGCTGACTTTAAAAATACCGTTGTTCACCACATAAGGAATAGAGTGAGAGGGCCTCAGAAAGGGCGGGGCCTCTTAGCTGTCAAAAGAGGTCCTTTCAAGCTTGTGAGATCTGTTCTCTCACAGGACAGGCCCCTGAAGTGAGCATCTGCTAGACAGAAGATCTCATGTGTATTCACAGCTCTATCTCGGTTCCTTTGGCCATCACCCCCTCTCCCTTTGACCACAGGACATTAGAGGAAATGCCTGTCCCATTATCATCAGAAATGGTTCCTATGGTGTTCTTTTAAGTGCTGTGCAAATAATTTGCACCTGGCTGTACTCGTAGTAGAGGCCTGGGGGATGTGAGGATTGCCTTAAAGTGCAATCACCCGCCTTAGCTTCTGACTGCAAGGCTGTGTTCACTCTCTGGGGACCTTCTCAGACCTTTGCAAGCGGTCAGGAGGAAGTGCTATGTGCATAGCATATTTATTTTCAGTGGAGATAGCTTTATGTCCTCTATCAAGAATTGAGATAAACTAATCCATCTCCATCAGTCTTGCCCCATAGAGTATTCTCATATGACCTGCAACAAGATGATTTGGGATTCTTTCTAGTCCAGAGGTTGTATGGGCTAACTACAGTCAATTAAGGCTGCCTGTAGTAACAACCTATTCAGAGAAGTATTCTGACTATGAGTCTTGCCATTCCTAGCTGTTCCTGTGTGGACTAGTCATATCACAACTCTTATGACATAATTGATTCTGTCATTAAAAATAATGTACCTATTGGGTGTTATGAGTAGAAACAGGGAGATGAACCTCGAGTATGAAGTGCTTCATGAACTATCTTTAACAGTTCAGTGGCATTATGAAGACGCAAAGATGGTTTATGTGACTCTAATCCCATTCTATCCTTTCACTCAAGCTACTTTTGAGATTCTTTCCAGCCAGATGGCAAACACATTCCTAGCTGCTGCCTGCTAGAAGGGTATCCTACCAGAGAGACATTCTTTCATGGCTCTGACACCTCCACCTGTTGGAGATGGGGGCGGGACATGGATTATTGAGCCAGTGAACTCGGTTGTCAAATGGAATGATTTATATGGAGGAGTCCCTGCTTGTTTATAAATCACTTGCAAGAAACCCTCTTTTGAAAATTCTCTCCTCATCTGGAAGACACTTTGGCTGCCTAACCACGGTATTAGCAGAGATATAGGGCTGGTGCTTTGGTGAGACAGCGGCAGAGTGAAGGGCTCCAGTGAGGCCTGGCGAAGGAATTCCAAGCCTGCAAAGGGAAGGGAAGGCATTTCAAGGACCTTTTGCCTTTGACAGGAAAAGGTGAAAAGGGCAATGACCTCAATGGCAGAGAGGCTGGGCATGGCTATGACCTCCTCTGGGCCTGGCCTTTGAAGGATGAAAAGAGAAACCCATGATTGTTCCTGACCAGGGGACTTGAAGCGATCCCTCCAGCAGACACCGGAAAGCCTCTTGCCATTCAGTGTGATTTCTGAAATCGCCATTCTGTTTCCAGGTTAAGGCAAAAAGACAGGGTGTGGGGTTTTGAGCAGCTTTGTGAACTGTAGCTGGAGGTGTAGCTACCGGCGGTGCTTAGTTACCTCAGAACATAGCCCCTTCTTCATGGACATTCAGGTGACAGTTTAGGAGTGTCAGAAGACATGGAATTCCCTAACTGTTAGAGACCAAGGGTCATGGGATGCCTGAGCCCAGCATGGCAGAGGTGGTCCTTGTGAAGGTGGTTTTGTTCATGTTTCTTCTTCTTTCCCCAGAGCCTGCCAAGGCTGCCTCGGACCTGACTGCCTGGTTCAGCCTCTTTGCTGACCTCGACCCCTTATCAAATCCTGATGCTGTTGGGAAAACCGATAAAGAACATGAATTGCTCAATGCATGAGTCTGCAACCTTCAACAGGGAGCCCTCAGGCCACTCCGCAGCACCTGATCCAGGGCTTGCAGAAGTCTAACTTGCTCAGTATGCTGTTTTAATATTTCCGTGCCATTTTAATAAAATGAGAGGGTCAAGGCCCTGTTTCTATCGGTATAGTTCTTTACTCTTACTTGGTTTGTATGTTTCCTGCGTGCATTGAACAGTAGAGGACTACACAGGAGCAGTTAGCAGGCCACTGCTGGCTCTTGCAGACATCCCATCAGAAGTATTGCTGTGTCAGTACACCATGGTGAAATCCAAGTCTAACTTACACACCTAAATGTGGGCTTACACAATATGTCCTCAGGGGCACCAGAAACTAACCAAGTTTTGTGCTTGCTTGTGTCCCATCACCCTCAGAAGGGGCTTCAGGAAAAGCCCTTCGTCCTGCCATACCACCTTCCATTGAGCTCTGGGTGAAGCTCCATCCAGACAACCAAAGACACACGAAGGCTGCCACCACACTTGACTGTGGCCACATGCCACACTGGCAGAGGAGTTGGGTTTTTTTTCTCTGGTGTGGACCTTTCCAGGCCACATATTCGCACACCCTAATGTCTCCTTTCATCTTCATAGCTGTATTCAAAAGCATGTATTCCAGTAGCCTCTTATAGCATTCTTTTAATAGGAAAATGTAAACAGAAAACATCATTCTACACACAAACCCCAGTCATGGATTCCATGTGGAGACCCAGCTGTGCGAAGAGAGGCCCTGTGAATGGTGGGATAGAGGAGGCACGTGGGGCCCACAGGCAGTTCTGAAGCTATTGACTAGACCCCGTACATGCCCAGGTAAGGCAGTCGGGATACAGAGGCTGCACGGGACCTTTGTAGGGCCAGGGAACAACAGTAGCAACAGATTTACATGTGGGCACGGGAACAACTCGGATACTCTTATCAGTATCACAGACCCTACAGTTAGCACTTCCCCACCTATGTCATGGCTACGTGCCAGGTCAGGGTCCCATACCATGGCAATGCACGTAAGGTCCTGTGTGGGGAGTGGAACGAGTGATGGATGGTCCAGGGGAAAGTCTCTCTGTACTAGGCCAGGCCAGTAGCCTCTTCTGGCCTCCATTGACCATCTCAGAGAAAGCTTTCTGGGCCACCTTCAGAAACACAGGAGCACCTCATGGAAAGGGCTTGTCCACAGCTCTAAAAACTACTCTGAGGGCTGGAGACACAGACTGTTAGAGGTGCCTTCTTGGGTAAGAATGGTCATGGTCTGGGAGCCTGGCGGGCCTTAGCTCGGGTATCTTTCCTGACCTTGCTGCCCCGTGTAAGCAGTCAGAGGGTGTCGTTACTAGAATCTTCTCTAGCAGATTTCTCAGCTCCACGTCAATACACTTTGAAGTTGTCAAGTTGCAAAATCAAAACCCCTGCCTCACAATCCTCTAAACATAGGCATGCTTGCCATCTCCACAGTCCACCATCTCAGGGCCTGTTTGCTGTGTGGGACACCATGGCCACCCTACTCATTCCCCAAGAGCTTCCTCAGAGTCTGCCTCCACCACAAGAATGCCTCTAGGTACACCATCAATAAACCAAGGACTGAGCCTTACTGTCTCCCTGAATGTCTGGCTCCTTCCCTACCTCTCTCATCGAGCCATGCCAGGATGGTGCCCTACCTAGCCCAGTCAGGTCTTTAGGCGCATGCTGCTGCCATTCCATGCTGCCACCCTAGAGGTCAAGACCCTATTTTCAAAATCTGCCTCCGAGCGACCTGCACCCTAAAGTCACATTGGGAGCAATAGATTAATGATTGCCAGATTGGAGTTGCCCTACGTGGAATGAGGACTAAGGGTCCTACTTTCATCCTGGGTCACATTGGTTTGCAGCCTTAGAAAACCCCTGAGGTCCCAGTCGGGAGCTGAATCTGGAGGGCCTGTGTGGCTCCATCCAGGCAGTGAGAGGCCAAGGGAGGTGGAGTTCTTCTGTTTTGAATAGGTTACTTTAAACAGTCGGAGGCTGCATCTTAAAACCCATCAGTGAGTAGAGAGGACAGGGGATAATAGTAGCTGGATAAGCTTTGCTATGAGGAAAAGGAAAGGGTTGCCCATGGAGGCATTTTCTCCCTGAATTTTCTTTGTGAAAAGGAAAGAAAAGAAACAGACTCAGACTCCTTTCCCATCTGCAATCCACTTGGACAGCCTCTTGATCCCCTTTGAGAGGCATGTTTTGATCCTGCTCACACAAAGGCCCTCAACCACCTCTCCTGTTCAAGCAGAAGCAGCTGCTGCTTGGTTGCCTTGTCAGTGGCCTGGGCACTGCCTGGCCAAGGGGCTTCCTCTGGGACCCACCTCAGGGCCTCCCTAATTGTGACACTAACCCTGTCTCTGACATGAAGAAGACAAAGAGTCTTTACCCTGTCTCACTTCTCCATCTCCATCTCACCTCAGGCAGCCAGCCGGAGCCACAGTGAGATTGGTACATAAGGTGGGGAACCTCTTCCTCCAGCTTTCTTTGGATTTCCTCCTGTTGCTGATGGTTTCAGCATGACCCTCTCCCCCGCCCCCCCCCATGAACCGATAAAGAATACACACACTGGAAGGAGGGGCCAGGAATGATTCCATTCGTGCCAGCCTTCTTTTCCCAACTGACACCGGCACTGGATTTGCTTTAGAGAATCATTCCCCTCAAAATGTAATTTTAGAAATATCAACTTGATGTTGAGTTCTGGGTATGTGAGAAAAGCACCCGTCAGCCTCAGAATTAGAAACCACTGATTTAGAAAGAACCAGCATTTTTTTTTTTTCTGGAAGTTTTTGCCTGAGAAGATGTGTTCTGCTTGAAGCCAGCACCCCTGTGTATGAAGGAAAGGCAAACCCATTGTGCTTTTTTATAGCTGGTGTGGCACCAGGGCTAAGTACCCTGAAGGTACTTTGTGAGGCTGCCCACCTACCAGATGACACCTGCCAGCTCCCTCTTGCCCCCTCCTACAACCCCACCAGTCAGTTTGAGTTCCCCTTTTAGGAGATGCTGCACCAATACCCCAGTTCAAAGCCCGTCTCATGGTTAAATGCTAACATTGTTTGATTTTGCCAATATCAGAGCTGCACCTGGCTTTGTGATCAACTAGTGTCCCACACAAGGACATAGTTAAAACCCTGCTTCCTGCTTTCATTGGAGGCAACTTCCTGGCCCTCACTCTCAGTGCAGGGATGTAGGTAGGTCTCTTCAGCTTTGTTGGAACATACATTCCAGCTTGGAGGCAAATTCAAATGATTAACCATGGCTGCCAAGGATTCTGCATTGGGAAGGCTTCTAGTAAATGAACAATGTTTACGGTGGGCGTGGGACAACCAACACAGCCTCATACCTTGCCTTTCATGGAGTTTTTAAAGTTAACTTTCTTCTTATCAAAAGGAACTAGTATTTTGGAACCTTCAGGGATTAGAACAACAAAGTTCAGAGCCCAGTCATTACGAAAACCCATCCCAACTCAAGCTGACTTAAACATCAAACCTGTAAAACCACATTCAGGAGGTGGAAACAGGAGGACCATGAATTCAAGGTCAGTTTGAGACAAGCCTAGACTAAATGAGGTCCTGTCTCAAAAATAAATTAACATTTTAAATATACCACAGTAGGCATATTGCTTAGGTGACTATCAAGTCTATAAACTTCAATCATAATTGGATCTAAGAGTTCATATTTGCAACCTCTCTCTCCCTCCCCCTCTTCCTCCTTCCCTTCCCCCCACCCCTCTGATTCCTCCATTGTTTCAATCCATCAGGCATTTCTTAGCAGGAGATAAGATGGCCACCAGTATCTCTAGTCAAAGTTTCAGAATGTAACCTGTGCGGTGTCTACTCTTGATTCACTGGGATCAAAGGGTAGAAAATGGGCTGTTTGATAAGCTTCCCTGTTGTGGGAACTCATTCTGCCTATAGCCTTGGGGCACCATCCCTCGGGCATGGTCTTGTCTGCTATGTGGCAACTGATAACTGGAGGGGAAGGCTCTTTCATTCTCTTGCTCTTGCTAGAGCTTGACATGGTGAGAGACCAAGCAGCTGAGAGGCAGCACGATTGGTGCTCTTGACCCCTGGGCAGAATGACTAGACAAAGGCAGTGGGATCAATGGTGGTGTATGCTTTGCTCTGTATCTGTGAGTGTTTGTCTTTTCATTGCACCCATTAATAAATTGGCTATTATACTTTTGTGGGTTCTCACTTCACCTGGTATAATCGATATCTCCTGATATGTACCTTTTGTGGTCTAATTTTTTTTAAAATTTATTTATTAGTTCTAGTTAGGGAACAAGCTTGTTTCACATGTAAGTCCCTTTTCCCTCTCCCTCCCCTCACTCCCATCCCTCCTCCCCCACCCACAACTTACTCCCCATCCCATCCACCCACCACACCCCAGGGAGAATAGGGCCCTCAATGGGGGCTCTGCAAAGTCCACCAAATCTTCCTGTGCTGGGCCTGGGCCCTTCCCCCTGTGTCCAGGGGCAGGGTACAGCCCTCCTGGGTCTGGATCAATCTTGTACTGGCTCCCTGACAGCATCTGAGGTCGATGTGCTCTCCCTTGTTCAGGCCAGCTGTTCCTGTGGGTTTCTCCAACCTGGTACAGACCCCTTCGTTCTTCATTCCTCCCTCTCTTCAACTAAATTTCCGATTTCAGCTCAGTGTATATCTGTGGATGTCTGTCTCTGCTTCCATCAGCCACTGGGTGAGGGCTCTAGGATGGCATAAAGAGAAGTCATCAATCTCATTTTAGGGAAAGGGCTTTTAGGTTATCCTCTCCACCATTGCCTGGATTGTCAGATCCTGTCATCCTTGTAGGTCTCTGGAGATCTCCCTGGTTCCAGATCTCTTCTCAGACTATAGTGGCTCCCTCTGATAATGGTATCTCTCATCCTACTCTCTCTCCTCTATTCTTCCCCCAACTCAATATTTCTGCCCCTCCATGTCCTCCCCTCTACTCTTCTCTTGTTCTTATTGTAGCAGCTCCTTCCCCCCTACCCTCATTTGTGGTCTAATTTTTTGCAGAACTACTTTATATCTTAAATAATTAATAGAATCTCCTCTCTGTATTTTTCTCAGGAGCAATTTATAGTACCTCAGAGAGTTCAACAGCTATTGTGTCCTGTTTTTGTGCAGCCT